GGGTATTTGTGTCCAAGGGAATATAACAAACCTGATTGGAATTGGAATTTTTAATCTTGAGCTGTTATCTATTACACCATCCACACATCCAAGTTTACAGCCTCTGGTATTCCCAAGTGGCTATCCATCTAGGTACTAACCAGGCTTGACATTGCTTAACTTTGATGGTTGTACAAGATATTTCAATGTGATATTGCCATAAGCTTTTCATCTAGCCAGCATTTAGCATATTGATTGAATGCATAATGTGAAATATATTTTTTACTTGTGCATTTATTTACTTTCAATATTTTGTGAGATTTTGATGATAGTGGCATTTGTAATGATTCTGAAAGATTGTATAAAACTTCAATTAAATACAAACATTTTGTAAATGATTCTGCATAGCAACTTATTATTTGTTCAAAGTTATAAGCAGAATATGTTTCCAATTCTATTCATGTCGTTTTGCACGTTCATGTTACTTATCCACAGATAAAATGAAATCCTCTACATTCAGACTGTTCTCTTGAAAACTTCATATCTGGTCAGTTTTGTATTTGAAACATAGACAAAGCAGTTTCTAAAGAATTACTGGATTTGTTCTTAATCCAACATTTTTATTACTTCAAATGTTATTATAGTGGATACTTCATATTTGAAATAGACATACAAATATGAAGCTTTCAAGAAAATTTCTGAGTGAAGAGTATGTGCTTTCTTTAACAAATAAATATATATATATATATATATATATATATATATAATGTGTGTGTGTGTGTGTGTGTGTAGACATTGAATTCAAACACTTTAACTTATAATTATAGCATACCTTAAAATTATATTTTATCATATATATATATATATATATATATATATATATATATATATATATATATATATAAAAGAACACCAAGATATATAATTCGGTGCTCTTATAGATATTTTTATTTTTACAAAATAGTGCTCAATGTAAATTTACAGAGCATTAATATTATAAATTAATTGATTTAAAATATGGTTTTTTTTTCGCTACACAGTTCTAACCATGTTTCAAAAATGGAAGCTAAAAGCCACGAATTTAATTATTATATATATATATATATATATATATATATATATATATATATAGTTGGAAGGAAAGTATTTTTAGTTTCTAAATACCAAAATTTATTTATTTAGAACCTACAAGAAATATTGAATTTTACATCTGGATAAGTTACATGAATTTTAAATGACATTAATATAATTTTTTTTTTTTTTTTTTTTTTGTTAATCACCCACAAGGTGATAAAGCCACTAAGAAGTAATGGATTACTGAGAATGAAGGAAATTGAGGAGAAAGGACAATAAAAAGATCAGGATTTAGTGGGACCGAAGATAATTAATGTAGCATTACCTAAATACAGCTTCCTCTGAGTGTTAATGACTTTTAGCTAGAAAATATATATGTCTACATTAGTCATGTAAAAATGTTTACATGGTAATTACACCTAATTTTTAAGTGCTAAGATTTGTCTAAATTCATAATTTTTGATCTTGTGACACTAATAAATATTAAATATAAATATTAACTGCTATATGTCTGCTGAAGCAGGAAAAAAATTAGAGTGGGATTCTTTGTACTATTTTAAAAAATAAAGTAGAAATATTATTCGACAAAAAATAGTTAATTTACTGTATTTTGAAAATAGAAAGTTATTTTTTACTCAAGATATAGTAAAAAATAAATTTCTATTAAAAAAAATCATATGAGTGTTTCCTTACCCAGTAGTGATGAAAGTTTCATTCATAGATTAATCTGTATGATTTTTTAAATCTTTTTTTTTTTAATTCAGAATTTACATTTTTCATTACCTTCATCATTTTGCAGTTTTATTTTATTTATTTTTAAAATTCTATTTATTCCTTTGGGCATCATCTTTTTGGTACCCTAACATTAGTTCTACTGATTGGCAGATGCCATCCTTGCAAGAAAATTATTTTTGGGGGAAAAAAAAGAACCCTAAAATTATGTGCAGGTTTCAACTAACCATATGTATAACTGCTAGGTGACCTCAGTCACTTATGTGCAATGACCTAACATATAAATAAATAAATCATTTACCTTTTGTCCCACAATATGTGTTACATTTGCAGACACATTTCATATACTAAATATAACAACTATTATGGGACAACGGTAGTATATAATAAAGATATAATATTGAAAAACAAAATCAAAATGTCTCATAAGTCATGTTTCTCAAGTTTCTGCAATTAAAGTAAAATTGTACTTATTCCGTCTTATAAATGTTACATTTTGTATATGAAATGTGTATGCAAATGCAACAACGGTTATGAGATATAAATTTTTCATTGGATATCTTCAGCTAGATTTGGCACATAGCATGTTTTAAATGTCATTCTTATTTGTGCCATGTCCCTTCAGGAGATGAGCAATCATGACTCTCCATAATTTCATGTTCCTTTGTAGATTTTAGTAAATTTTGCTTTTTTGCAACCATTCCTAAACTCTGGCCTGACATCCATTTATACAAGCTCATTAGGTAAATTATATGCCATTTTCCTCTGTCCCTCTTGCTTTCAATATATCCTGTCAGTGTCAAATTTTCAAAACCCTCTTTACTCAATATGTGACCCAGAAATTTCAACTTCCTTTTTCTGATGTTGTCCTTTTTGTTTCCATTTTCTCTAACATTTTGTTGTTTCTCATATATTCAGTCCATGATACTCTCAGCATTCTTCTGCAGAACCACATTTCTGTTACTTCAAGTTTTTTCATGTCTGGAGAGATTGTCCAGTTTCCACTGCCATATAGGAAAACTGATATTACGTAACAGTTCAGTATTCTTTTCTTTGTTTCTAATGAGTTTTTTTCCCCCGATTGCTTGTATTTTGGTTGGTTTTGTTTCTGTTGTTTTTTCTTAAACTAGCAATCATAATATGTCTCATAATCATGTCTCTCCACAACTTCCTGTCTGTTGTAGCTCTTAGTAAAGTTTGTTTTCTTTTTTTTTTTACTATCTCTCTTAATCCTGGTTCTGCCAACCATTTATACCATTTAGGTAGGTTGTTCATGCTTTCATATATCCCTCTTGCCTTCTACATGTCCTGTGAGTGCCAAATTCTCCAAGCCCTTTTTTCTCCTTATGTACCCTAGAAATTTTAACTTTCTCTTTCTGATTCTAAGTATAAAAGTACTTTTAGTTGCCATTTTCCCTAAAACTTCCTTATTACTCATGTTCAATCCATGGTATTCTCAGCATTCTTCTGTAGAACCACATTTCTATTGCTTCAAGTCTCTTCTCCATCTGTGTCCAGAATTCACTGCTATATAAGAGGTCTGATATTATATAACTTTTGTCATTTTCTTCTTAACCAGTAGAATTGAAACTACTCCTTTCATCTAATATTATATTTACTTAGAGGATAATTATATCATACAGGTTGACAATTACTTTTCTTTGGTCCACATAAATAAGTTTGGATTACTACTTAGCATAGGCTTAAAGATAATTAAGCTTATGCTTTGTAATTAGTCAAGTAATTATTTTAATTAATTTCAACTTTTAGGTACATTTCTATTTGATTTATTATATAGATATTTCCTATTAATTTTTAATTTATTTTTTGTTTAACCATATTATGATATTTCAAGTAGGAATTGCAGTTGTGTGCAATCAGTATTGGTTCAACAGTCCAAGACAATTGCCACTATCTTATATAGCAAGCCTATACATAACATTTACTCTTAGGTGTATGCTAATTAGTGATAGCACTAACTAACCACTACCACAAACCACTTTTTCTTTTTTAATAGCTATCAGCATTGAAATTCAATTAAAATTTTTTATTATAAATAGGTTAGAACATTTTATAATTCCATATGTTCCCTGTTGTAGATATGTGGGTGGTGTAATAGATAGTGACTTGGAATGAGAAATCTGAGAGCCAAGTAGAAATTCTAGTCCATTATATTTGCTTATGTGAAAATACCCTTAGGAGAGGTATGAATCCATCTCTGCTCCCACTAGCTATGAGTTAAATAGCAGGACAGACTGGCTGGATTTTCTTGCTGTGGTTGGCAACCAGTCTAGAGAAAAGACAACTCAATAGAGAAAACTTAAGCCAGATCTCTATTAGGTTTCAAGCAAAGTGCATAATAAAAAACAACTCATTGAATAAGAGTTGTGCAAGAATCCATGAAATGGATTATATGACAGGGGATCGAGGTTTCCTGTTTATTTATGTAGATATTTATGGAACAATACCAAATTCTGCATAAATATATATCTATAAAGTGAGCTGCTTTGGTTATGTCAAATAATTACCATTTGGTTTGATCTTATTGTTTCTCTTACTTTTTTATCACTCTATATTTTCAAGGTAATTCTTAAATTATCTGAAAGGAATGTTTTAAAATTTTGTGGCATTTCCTCTCTTCAACATTTTTCATGATATAAATTTAAAATAATTTAGGTTTACTTGATTAAAAAAGGAAGAAAAAAAATGTTCATTTGGTTTAATTTTATTTAATAGTTGTAAATGTATTTGGAAATAAATTTTATATGATTTGATAAAAAGATATGAAAAAATCAGATATTTATTTGTGATAGAGATATGGTTAGTAGATGTTAGATAACAGACTGGTGTGATAAGTAAATATTGCAGAATAGATTAGTAGATAATAGATTTATGTGATTAGTTAAAACTTGACCTACATTCCTATATAAAATCAGTTAACTTAGAAGTATATGTCATAACTAAGTACAATTAATTATACTGTCCCAGCTATCAGTATTTTTATATATTTGTCCTCAATTTTAAGGACTGTTGAATCATCAAAATACTTTATATACAGAAATACTAAGTTTATAATAAAAACTGAAAATTGTTCATGTTTGAGACTTGAAACTGGTAAGTCAATGCATAAAGTACCCATATATTAATGTTATTATTGGTTTCTCCTTCCACTATTAAATACATTGATATATTAATTTTACTTGTTTGGTTTTCAGTTTGTGGCTGCCAATGATAAATTATGGTTTTGGCTGGAACTTTTCTCCTTTGTGGATTATTTTACAATCCCACCATCTTTTGTGGCAATATATTTGGACCGCAATTGGCTGGGTAAGTAAACTACTTTCATATCTGTTTAAAGCTTTAATAGTCAATTGGAATTTGTATTTTATGTAATAACTTAACACCTCTGTCATATTAAGATGAATCAAAACATGTTTATTCAGTAAGATGCATAACATGTAAATCATAAACAATTTAATTGATATTTTAATTCTTTACGAGGTACACTAACTCATTTAATAGTAACTGTTTTTGGTACTTTTGTTTAAACTCAGTCATTATGAAAAAAAATCTTTTACTCAAAACTAATTTGACTTAGAGATTTTGGTGATGTTTTAGTTAAATTTCAGTAAATCTTTATTATCAAATTATATTGCAATGCTTTTCAAAGCAACTTATTGGGTAAACAATATGAAAGAATAATTAGTATGAAAGAATATTGAATTACTTTAGATACAAAAGAAACAGCCTACTCTTATATTTTAGGAATAGGGTTAAAAATAATCTTGTACAATAACAGATAATGACTTTTGAACTAGCAAAATGGTTTACAGGTAAGTTCATCACCATAAAATCACCACAAGGAAAGTTCACCTTGAGGAAATTCGCCTTATAAATTCATTAGATTTTATAATAATTTGTATTAATATATATATATATATATATATATATATATATATATATATATATATATATATATATATATTAATACAAATTGTTGTTTTTTCTGTTTTCATTTTGAATTTGTAGGTCTGATGATTTGGATTGTATTTACAATTCCAATGGAATAAATTATGACTATGGAATATTAATGTTTAAGCCTTTTTATTATATCCTTACTCTGTCCTAGACATTGAGTTCTACCTGGATTCTTCCTCTTGGAATTTTTTTTTCTGAAAATATACATGTATGGGTATTTTTTATATATATTTTGTATATATATGTATATTTTCCACTAATATTATATATATATATATATATATATATATATATATATATATATATATACATCTAGTCTGAATCTAGAGATTTATATAATAGCTAAATGGGTTGAAATGAGCATAATGGAAGAAATAAAAACCAACTAATACCAAACCAAATGTAAACCTCAGCCAAAGTTTTCTAAATTACAGTCTAAAGATAATTGTATCCCTGACTACTTATCAGTTATTAGAAACTCAAGTTTTAATTAAATTAAAATGCATAGTGTCACTTATTATTTACTGTTACCCTATTTTAGAAATGTTTTAGATACATTGAACAATAAAATTAGAACCCATTAAAAATTCTTTAATTTTCATCCTTTTATGATGAACTTACCCCGAGGTGAACTTTCCTCATGGTGATTTGATGGTGGTGAACTTTCCTGCAGTGAATTGATGGCTGTGAACCTACCAGACACAAACAAAATGCCCTCATCTTGATGAATATCATGACACTGATCCAAATAAATTAATGAATGATAATAATAATTCCTCATCTCAGAATTTCAGACAGAAATTATCAGACCAGATGCAATACAAAAATAGACATAATTAGAAAAACTCCACCAAAAACTGGCACATATGTTGAACCATCTAACATTTCTCTTTAGATGTAGAAACCTGAAGCCAATTCCAGCTGGTTTTATAAAAAATGTTGAAAGTACCAGCCAAATAGATTTACTGCATAAAAATGGAAAAATAAGTTTGTTGTACATGATCTATATTCAATGTGAGAATACTATTCTGAATTTCATATATACTACAGATACACACACCACAAGTTGCTACAGAATTAAACGTTAACCTAAAAACTCAAGCCATGTTCTTAAATAGTCTTGTCAGATCAGCACATTCATATGGATATCATGCCTGGCACCAAACTCATTCAGAAATATCTACTGTCAATTGTATACAACTGCTTTCTCAGATCAGTTGTTAAAATGTCTTTGAGGAAATTAAACCTGTATGTCTTAGAGAGGGCCATCTGTTTTCAAACCTTGTGGACTGGTGTAGAGAATAAGAAACAAAGAGCTGTACCAAATAATAGAAACCACATCAGTTGAGAACTTTCAGCAGCAACTAAAATGCATAGCACATGTAACTCAAAGAGAAGACAATGGCATAATAAAGTTCCGGATATTTTACACTACTTCAAACAAAAGGTTAGGAAGGAAGCTCCCATCAGTATTAGAAAGAGCAATAAAAGTGAACATTGGCTGTTCAGTCAGTAAATATTGAATGTTTCCTTATAAAGAAATGGCTAATATTATATTACCATACCATTTATATTTAATGCACTTATATTCTTTGATTTTACTAAGTATAGCTTATTTGTTTTTATATAATCTTAAGAACAATTAGTGCAGCAATGTTCTATCTACTCCATCAAATTTGCTCTAAAATTAATCTACTTTTAACAGTCATTAAAACAAACTAAATAACTATGTTACTATACTTTTGAGAGCTAATATAAATTTTAAAATTTTGCATACAGCTATTAGAAATTTAAGATAGCTGTAATTCAATAATTCTGTATCATCAAATACATCTGAATGTATTTTTTGTTTTGTTTTTTTTTTTTTTAGAATATAATTGAAAGATCACTATCATATTTGCCAGTGACTCATATGACAAAAATCTTTCACTTGTTCTATTGATGTTATATTGTTATGTGATGATATGTTTATGCTCAGTAAATTGAACCAGACACTTAACCTACAAGATGATTGAGGCAATTTTAATGATCTATTTTTTGTTATTAATTAGGAGAATGATCAAAGGCCAGGCAATATTTCTATCATATTTATTCCTGTTTTTTCTTTCTTTTTTTTAACCATCACAGTTCTAGATCATTACGCCCTATTGTTCTCACACTCATTCTGTGTTGCCTTATCTAATTTTGAATTTATACATATCTGTTTATATTGAATCAGGGTTAACAGTGTGTACTTTAATATTGAATGGAATTATCCGACATTTTATAAATAGTTAATATCAGCATTTTAGTTTATGTAATATTAAAAAAAAAAATTAGTATTTTCAAACCTCTGAATTTGAGCCAGACTCTTTTTGAAAGTTCTTTGTAAATGTGTATTTTGCAACCACTATTTTAAAAATATGAACATTTTAACTTTTTATCAAGTGAATTTCAAAGTGATAAAATGTAAATCACTTCACTGCATTTTTAATTTAAAAAAAAAAAATGTAAATGTACAAAACTTAAGGTATTAAGATATCAGAAAATGTTCCTATCTAATCTCTTATATGGCAGTGAATGCTGCACAATTTTCTCACAGATGAAAAAAAGAGTCTTTAAGTGACAGAGATGTAGTTCTACTGATACATGTTAAGAATACCATGGACAGAACATGTAATCAATAAGGAAAATAGGAACAACAAAGAAATATACATACAATCAGAAAGAGACTGCTGAAATTTCTGGGATACATAATGAAAAAAGAAGGCCTAGATAAGTTAACATTTACCAGACATATCAATTGAATATCTAAGGGGATTGATAAAATCCTCACTGAATTTCTCTTGGCTAGCTTTCATATCTGTGATGACTTCAGTATCTGTTGTAGAGTAGTTTCACAGTGGAGGCTTGTATTTGTACTGTTGGTCCTAAAATAGGTTCGATGTACAAAACGTTAGGAACTTGATATAATACGTAATGACACAGAGAAATCTAGTTGTGGTGGCTGATACTTTAATATCCGACCAACGGTCGTCCGACATCGACTGACTGACCAACTCACTGAACAACTGCTACTACTCCTACTTATTATAGGTGGGAGAGTCTATTAACTATAGAATAGGTGTGTTCCACTATAACAGTATCCACCACAAAGAGTGGTTAGTCCACTTGAACAAACTGATGAGAAAGACAGATATTGTAAAGACTTCTCCACTGCCTATTAACTAGCCCAGACCATTGAAGAACTCACCCATGTCCCTGACACAATGCAACATCAAGTGAACCTCCTTGATCTCTTCTACACATCCTGCCCTGAAAATTACTTTGCAAAAGTTTTACTTCCTCTCCTGAGCATGTCAGACCATTCCTTAGTCAGTGTCCAAATTGATGCCAAACCAAAGGCACCCTCTGATTTGCCATTTCATAAATGATTTTTCACTACATCAAAGCAGACTGGGACAGCTTTAGATCTTATATGGCAGAAGTTCCTTTCTCAAACTTCTTCAAGCATACTGCCTCCAAAACTACTGCCCTCATCTCATAAGGGATCCTTTTTAGAATGAAGAGTTTATACCCGCCCCCCACTGCCAATTAAAAAGTCAGCTCTGGTTCACTCCTGAATGCATTGCAGCTACTATTTCAATATCTATTGCAAGGAGCAGTGTAGTTTGACTCTTACTGCATTCAGAACTGCAATTGCTGCAAGAAAGTTCTGGAAAATACAAAGTGTAGCTATGTCCAGGCCAAGGTTGAAAACAAACAAATTGGAACCTGAGAATTCTGGAAGATAACTAATCAAATTATGAATAGTGGCTCTGAGGTTATATCTTCCTCGACAGTTAAAGTGAAGCTCTTTGCCTCCAACTCAACCTGACTTCCTCGCTCTTGCTGAAAACAATCTCTTGTATTTTTATTACAGCCCAAGAAGTCTTAAGACCTATCAAAAGCCTTAACTCTAAGAAAGCCAGTGACCTACACAAAATTCCAGTGGTTGTCCTTAAATATATCAACCTGGAACTATGCCCGATCTTAGCAAAGATATTTAACTGCTGCTTGAGGAGAAATCCTTCCCAAACCTGTGGAAAGTGTGAAGCATATGCCTGGTTTTCAAGAACATGGGCAAGTGCTCATCTCCTCTCAGTATAGACCCATCAGTCTCCTCAGTGCCATTAGCAAGCTTTTTGAGGCTATAATCAACAAAAATATTGTTGAGCACTTAGATAAGAACAGCCTCTTGAGCAACAAGCAGTACAGAGCTGCCAAGTCCTCACTTTCCAGTCTCAAAATAGTCCAAAAGCATCTCAGAGTCTTTGTGGATGACAAATTATTTTCCACCCTGCAACCCCTCTCTCACTGAAGGCCATGGAAAGTGCTCAGATGAACTACATTCCTTAGTTCCACCAGTTCTAACCTTCATGGCCAAGACCCGCTATGCCACTCACATTGTAGCAAAACATTCCCTCCATATTCCATTAGTGAGAAGTTCCACTTGAGCAGCTTCTTCCCACGAACCACTGCTTTGTGGAACTAACTCCCAAGACAATGTTTCCTGATCACGACAATCTTAACCTGTTCAAGTCTAGAGTTAACCATTATTTTTCCCACATATCCCCATCTGCTATTATGCTGTTGCCCTTGAGGAAATCATACATTTGGGTAAACCACTTTCTCATAACTACCTTATTTACCATGACAGTAATATAAAAAAAGCAATTATATTGTCAACTTTGAGAGGGACCAATAAAATATTACAAATTTCTTTATAGACTTAATAAGTCCTAGATCTAGTATTGTAAGGTTTTATCCAAATCTAGTAATTTACTCATATAACCCAAAAGCAAAATGATTTGAAATGTACATTGAATTATTTATATCAATATTGTTTAATATATTTTAGTCTAGAACTTTATTAATATGCACTCTGACTGTTACAATAATTTGTGTGATTTGAACTTGTTAGAAAATATTTTTCAACAGTATGAATATAGATTGTTATTGTTTAAAAATTATCTTACTAATCTGTAGAATGATTTTCTAAATATTATGACAGTTCAACTTAACATGATTCTTACAAGCTTGAAGTAAATGAGAGTAAATTGCATTGATAAATATTTGCAAGCAAACAAATCCAATTTAATTAATTGTATATATGAAATAAATCAATTGCTGTTCTTGCTCTTTGTCTCCTTTTGATATATGCTAAATATTTTGTTCCTTACCATTTTTTGCAACTCTGAATTTCATGTATGACGCAATTGTCAGGCAGGTATTCAAAACTCACTGTTGTAAAATTTAAATATTAATATTTATAACCTGCTGTTAAGATAGTGGCGCAGTATATTTGTTTAAAGGAAAATAACATGTATTTCTAAAAAAATAGATTACATGAAAACAAATGAATTAAAAATATATTTACAACCAATTACAAGTGTGTGTGTGTGTGTGTATATATATATATATATATATATATATATATATATATAGGCTCATAATGTAATTAATACTGTTTAATTAAAACCAGAGCATTTACTTAAATAAATTGTATCTATACAAATAATGTATAAACAGAAAATATATTAAATAATTGTTGGACTTGATCTATTTCATTATATGTTGTCATTGTTTATGTTAAGATACATTTTGTGATTGATTGAGAACAGTGTGTGTTTGTTTTAAAACAGTAATTTGGACTTTGCTAACCAGACTCTTCTCTGTAGCTAAGTGGTATAGCATGTCAGATCTAATGATGATTTCCATATAAGAATGCCAGTTCAATTTCTGTCAGACAATGCATATTTTCTATGAAATTTCTCAAGCATTCAGGCCAGTAAATGTAATTAATACTGTTTAATTGAAAACAGAGCACTTACTTAAATAAATTGTATCTATAAAAATAACATATAAACAGTATATATATGTGTGTGTGTGTGTGTGTGTATCCACAATATATCTCTTCAATATATCCCATATATATAATTTAAATACAATTTATACACATCTTATACATATTTTCAAATATAATACACATATATACACATCTTCATAGATATAATAGGTTACAAATATGATATTACAATTTATGTGTACATATACACATGTACAATATTACATGGATGCAAAATATAAATCTCTTCCCTATAGTACCTAGACTGTATGAATAATAAGTGCAATACTAGACAGGTATTAATACCTCATTAATTTACAGTTGAGCTGGCTAGATGTAGATGTAAATTCTATGCTAACAGTTTCTTATCTTGTACTTCTTGTTTGTAGAACCCCCTCCTGGCCCCATGCTTTTCAGCCAACTTCAATCTGCAAAAATTTAAATGCAATGTCAATCATTATCTACTGTCCTCTTGATTGCTATTTTCTCTTTCTCCTCATTACTAATGTTTCTGTTCATAATTCCTCCAGACCCTGTAACCCCTTGTGAGATAGTGGCTGTACTACCTTGCTTGGAGTGATATTATTGAAAAAAAAAAACATACATGCATCCATTCATTTGTATATGATAAAAATATAGTTACAAGGTATGCTATATATATAGGTAAAAGTGCCCATTATCAGTGACAGATTACATGTAAATATAAAAGTGAACATTCAGGTCAACATGGTCTGAAGATTGTGTTCAAGTAGGAAACAGACTGTCACCACTCAGCACTGATCTTGGTGTCCCCCCCCAAATTTATAGAAATAAATAAATAGATATATGCAAAATGACATTTTATGAATTAACATACATAAACATGATATATATATATATATATATATATATATATATATAATATGTTAAGCGTATGGTATCAGAAAAAATAAGAAAAAATGATGGTTTAAAGGAATAAACAATTTTATTAATGCAAAATAAAACATGATAAATTAGTGTAAATATCTCTCATTGAAAAAAGAGTTAAGTGGAGTTGTAAAAGGCATCTGCAGGGGATGTACAGAAGGAGAGGGAAGACAAGTTTGGACTTACTGGGGTGACAGCCTTGGAGATAGGAGATTGGTTTCTGATGAAGCCTGTGAACCTGGTCCAAGATGCCATCTGGTTACTGAAAATGTGTTTTTGATGGGCTTTTATGTCCTTTCTTAGGCTCAAATCAGCTTCATTTTTTATTTTGTTTCTTTAGGCAGGAGTAGGGACTATTGGATGAAAATTCTGGATTGTATTGCTTATTTTTTTCTTTGAGTGTGTGAGTAAAAATGGAAGGTATGTGCAGAGCCTTGCACGATTGACAGAATTTTAGTTCAGTTTTGGTTGTTCAGAGCATTCACATCTGGCTAGTAGTGGAAATTAGTGTAGCATGAATCAGAAGATCTGGTTTTAGAAGGAATGGAACACACACACACACACACATTGTGTCTTTAGTCAGCAATCCTTCATTTATACATATTTCATTAAAGATGACAAATACTGCAATTAAGCTTTTTTTAAATTTTTCTTGTGTTCAAACAAGTGTTTTCTTTTCTGGACACAGAGTGTGTAGAAACTGACCAAATGTTCTGTAATTCCGAGCACTTTTGGCTATACTTTTAGCCATTATCAAGGATGATTTATTTTTGCTTTTTAACTGGGTGTATGGGTTGTGTGTATGTTTCTAGAGTTATAGAGATGTTATTACTTCAAACATTGTTTTGTATTAGATACCCACATTTGAGTAGATACTCTGTTTTTTTTTTTTAAATAGTTTATTACATCTAACAGCCAGCACACTTAAGAAAACTTAAAGAAAATGTGCTCCTGACTGGGTTCAATCCCCCCCCCCCAGTAAGGAGAAATCACTGTATGATCAGACAGGCTTTAGACTACTTGGCTATGGAGAGTTGTGACACTTTCCATGGCTAGTTTCTATTTACTATTTTTGAGGGATGCATAGCTCTCATTCAGATTTTCTCAAAAGCCATATCTGTTCAGTTTTGTAATTGAAATGTAAACAAAGATATTTCTAAAGAATTAATGGATTTTTTTTTAATCCAACATTTTTATTATTCTAATATTATATTTTTATTTGATACTTGTATTTAAGCACATGCCCCATTTTTAAGCAGTGTTTATTATGTCTAAGGGTCTACACACTTGAGAAAACTTAAAGAAAATATATCCTCCTATGTAGGAGAAACCACCATGAACCACTCAGCCACAGAGAGCATTACAGCCCAGTAAGAAACAAACAAAGAGCTAAAAACAGCTCAGCAACAAACTAAAAAAAGGCAAATAGAACCTTGCAGACAAGTTAACTTTTAAGTTGTGTAAATTTTGCAACATTAATTTCATTTGGCTATTTATTCTTTCATACATTCTGAAATAGTTTGCATTTTTATGTTTTATTAATATTTGAAAATGTATACTTGAATTGAATTTTTTCTTCCAGGTCTCCGATTCCTTCGAGCACTCAGACTTGTGTCCATTCCCGACATTTTACAATATTTAAATATTTTAAAGACAAGTACTATGATTCGACTTACTCAGCTTGTTGCATTCTTTGTCAGCATGTGGTTGGCTGCAGCTGGGTTTGTGCACCTGGTAAATGACTCTTATTTTTTGCTTTGACATTTTTTACACTGCTAGCTAATTCAAACATTTTTTATTTGAAATATCTCTAATAAATTTGGTTTGATTAAAAGATGGGGTAAAATTACAATAAAATTAATTTTATTTTTACCTGATAATATACAATCAGGAGTTACATAATATAATGTCTGTTGTAACCTAGAAAATGTTACTGAATGAGGAATAACCAAAACAGAGGTTGGAAATGAAATGATAATCTTTATAACATCAACAAAATATAATACTTGCCATTCCTTTGTGACTGCATTTGCCTGCTGCTTGATGAACCCATTCACAACAGGGTGATGTTCCACCAGCTTCCTGTATAGTAAGAAGACATTCCACCGAGTCATAACATCAGGGACATTAGGGATCATGCTTCCCCACATCCATTGCAGAGAGTTAGGCTCCACCCAGACCAAGCATGCGAACTCCTCCTTCAAATGTTTTGGGTCTTTGCACATCAGCCAGTTTTTGCCCTAACATGTTCTGCAGACATGATACTCTCATTGACATACACATCATAAATGTATGCCAGTGCCACTCTCTTCCAACTGACTTCTATGACTGCATGATGTCAATAATGAACTTCATGACTAGAGGTGCCATCTTGAGACTAAATCCCAACCATGTTGGGACTAAATCCCAACCATGTTAGGCAAATCCACTTCCCCTTGATCATCATAATTTGATATGGTCACAGTGACCTATGTATGTGTACTTGAAAATACACTTTTTGCAAGTCAAGTATGGCCACATTTACCTCTTGGGTGGCCCCAGTTTCTTTTTGGGGTATGGTATTGGTGATCCATGTCTGGAGTTCTTGTTCATAGATATCCCTAACATCCTTTGAAATGGAGTACCCTGAAACCCCGTTGCGTAACTGAGCTGTTGCCACACCTGCTGACCTCTTCCATTTTGCAGTCTGGATCCTTTGTTGGGTGAATTCCACAGAAAAGTCAGGTTGGTCAATATGGATCACTGTACTTGTTGGTGTTTCTTTACTGCAGAACTATATGGTTGTGTGATATGGATGCCACTTAATACAGTTATCGCATATATTCTGGCAAGTAAGTCAAAGCCTAGAGGTTTGTCATGCACCACAAGAATATTAATCTTGGCTGAGTTGCCACTGTCTGTGCAGATGTTAACTATCCCAACATCATAGCACTCTGCCAACAATTGTCTCCATGTCTGTGTTTTCCAGTTCACAACTAGCATCACTTTGCACTAACAATTGACTGAGAGCAGCCAATGAGAGCTGAACATCATTCCTCATTGTCCAATGCATGCACTACAGGCAGTGCTGCATTTATATCTGGGCGGGGAATGAGACTGGCACTGATGTCTGTTCCTCTGATCCATTTCCTGGACATATTGCTCAATTTTTCACAGTAATAGCACCTTATGGCTTTCTCTGTTCGCTGGTTCATTCTTTGCCCAGTTTGTCAACTCAAATAATATCTAGCCAAGTGATTAGCATCACCACATCTGTGGTAGACAATATTGCTCTGTGTATCATTGGCAGAAGTAAAGTCTGTACTCAGTTGCTCAGGCTTTGTGTCTGCCATATTCAATTCCACCACCATCCTTCGATATGGCTCTAGTCCAGTCTAATAGCATCCATTCGAGAGAAAAAGCAAAGCAGCTTCCCAATATGTTCAGGAAATCCTGTTATAAATGCACATGCAAGTCCATGGTCAGACATCTGCCATACAAGGTTGACAACCTGTGAAGGTCTGCTAAGTGGATGTTTGAATTCAAGTGCCTAGTTACAAACTAGTTATATACTATGAATGGATCTGTGGCAAAGGCAACATACTGGGCATCCTTGATACAGCCTACATATTTTCTTTCTTCCTTGCTAAGTTGTTAGAACGCAGCAAATGTACTTCACATCAATTGAAGTGGCAGAACACTAGCAACATTCTTCATGCCACACAGATCACAGATTAGTTCAACCTTTTCAAACCATTCAACAATAGTGAGACCCTTGTCTAAACCATCAAATTCAGTGATTAGCTTCATGGTCGAACTTGCTGTTAGCCATAAATAACCTATTGTAAGGTAAGAAAAGAGTCTATTGAGATGGTAGGGGGGAACACCTAACTAATAGCTCTCTTTACAACTATGGGAATAATAGGGAGAGAGTGGGGGAAAGGATGGGAGGTAACAAAAAATAACTACCTCGGAAACCACAGCAACTTGAGGAACAAAATGCCCATGGGACCGACTTCACAAGACACTGTGTCTTTTCCAACTGCCGACTGTTGTTTTCTCCCAGCTTTTATTGGCATGAGGCATCTTACAAAGACCGGAATCTTGAACTCACAACTCTTTGGTTCCTGTCATTGGATCTAATCAATGACTTTAGCCAGTGACAGGACCCAAAGAGTTGAGAGTTCAATACAGGTAATGGAGAATTGGAGAGGTAAATTAACAGAAGATAACTTAAAAGAGTTCAGTTTGACATTCCAACCACCTGAAGAAGGCTGGAGCATACAATGGCTGAAACTTTGTGATAAATACAGCAACAAAGATGAGGACAATAGTCAGAATAATGTAAATAGTGTACATAATACCTCATCTCAGAAATATAGACAGATATTAATAGTATGGAGTTTGAATTAGCACTCACTCTGGATGATACATTTTCTCAAGGGATATAAAATAGCTTCTATTATTTATTTGCTAATAATTGATAGAATTTCTATAAATACAACATGGCTTGGCAGTCTTTAAGTGTGTATAAATTAATAAGTTTAAACTTGACAAACTGGAATATGCTTCTTACAAATGTTTCACAAATTATTTACTACAGAATATGTGATTTTTTTTTTAGTTGCTTTTTTATTAAATATTTTTAAATCACTGTCAAATGTCATAATGTAATCATTTCAGGCCAACGATTTTTATCTGCGATCACTCCACCTTGAGTGAATTTTTAAAATATGACATCTTTGAGTACATTTTTAAAGGATTATAAATTTTTTGATTTGTCATGCTTATATAATTTAGTTAGAACATTTGAAGACCTGAGTACCTTTTCATTAAAGTAAATGGTAATAGCACTAGTCTGAACAACCTAAGATTTTTACTTACTTATGAATTATACCATTATGATGGTATGAACTTCTACTTATCTACATAAGAAATGATTTATCTACTTTTATTTTTTAATCATTTCTCTCCAAGGAAAGTGATAAAGACACTTATATGCAAAAGGTTACTGAAAGTAAGAGAAATTAAAAAAAATTTTGAGGAATAAAAGGACAATAAAAGAATAGGATTCATCGCAACAGATAACATTTGAAATCCCAAATGCTATCAAAATCAGTGTTTTGCCAGTTTCTGTACTGAAGCAGTTTTAATTTTTTAATATTATAGCAATAAACTATATATTTTAATATTTTTTATTTCAGATTGAGAATTCTGGTGATCCCTTTATGGATTTTTCTAACCCACATAAAATGACTTACTGGGAGTGTTTGTACTTTCTTTTGGTAACCATGTCAACCGTTGGTTATGGGGATATTTATGCCAAAACTGTTCTCGGAAGGGTGTTTATTGTATTCTTCATCCTATGTTCTTTGGTAAGTACATTTTGTGTTAATATTCACTTTCATGTTGTTTTTTTTTTGTTTGTTTTTTTCACTCTCCATGCTAGAATAGTGAAAGCATGGTAAAAAATAGTTAAATTAGGTTTGTTTTTTATTAAACTCAGATGATCTTATAGTTTTATTAGAAAATTCTTTGATGAACTTTGCTGAATATTGTTCTGATTGATTGTTTAAAATTTGTTATATTTATGCAGGAAGAGGGCTTAATGTTGGATATAGAGCACATTTAGACATGAACAGTGTGAATATAGAAAGCCACACTGCATGATGACTATCTGTTTCATGCCATAATCATCTATTACACTTCCTTGTTTAGACTTAATATATAGGCCACTAGGGGCTTGTGGGAAGTGGGAGAAGAGAAAAACTGTTTTTTCTGAGTTTTTTTGTTTTTGAATAATTTTTATATTATTTTCTTTTATTTTTATATCATTTCACCCCAAACAAGACAATAAAGCCACTAAGACACAAGTGGTTACTGAGTGAGAGAATATGGGAGAAAAAAGAATTTTAAGAAGATAGAACAATAAAAGAACAGGAATTAAGAAGCAAGAAGATAACAATTGACATTGCATTTAAATTTTTGAGCAAAGTTGACTGAGAAGCAAGAAGACAAGAGTTTTACAAGTGAGAAATGCAAGAGAAGAAACTGTTAAGATAGAACTTATGGTTACATTTAGCCATTTTAACTGTAAAATGATGAGACCTTGATGCCAATCTTGCTTAAATTCATAAAGTCTGTCTTCCATAGAGGAAAGTTCATCAGAACAATTACCATGAAAGTAGTTATAGAAAATAATAATTTTTATGATGATCATATAATAATTGCTTGTCCTTCCGTTCATTAGTTTGTATGACCATCCTGTCCTGCCAATACCTCATAAATAATGTACTATTCCATTTTGATCATGTGGAAAGACAAATGACTTATCAGAGATGCTACTTGGTTTCCATGTAAAAAATAAAGATAGAAGTGTTTAACATCTCCTGCTAATATTGTATAAATAATGGACTATTCCATTTTGATACCATGAGATAAGACATATCAAAGATGTTACTTGGTTTCAGGTAGAAAATGAAAGAGAGAAGGGAAAATAGAAGCTTTTAATGTCTGCTTCAGTGAAATAGAAAAAGTTGTCAATTTCTAATCTTTTCATTTGTACATACATACTTCTTAAAATAATGACTAGCATTTATAATTGTTATTACAATATTTTGTTAAAGTTGTTAAGCCCAAATATTTAATGATGTGATAGAGGAATTTGTACAGATATTTTATTATCATAGAAGTCGCCATGAGCTTATTCAGTCATTAACCGAGGAATTAAAATTTATCAGAAATTTCAAATAGGAAAACTGTGAAATTTTCACAGGTTAAAATTAGTAATAATAATTAAATTTGGAACAATATGTATTGCTTATCAGTAAGCTTTAATAAACTCAAGAGTTATTGCTTGAAAATACAGCAATGTAGCACAAGACCAAAAAGGAGGAATGGGTTGAGGCTGGTAGTCACTATCTTATACCTAGATAATCCAATTCACAACCCATTCATTCGTTACAATTTACACATCCACCATAAAAACTCATCCATCCACACACCACAATACTGCATACACACAGGGAAACCTATAAAAAAAAAACATCCCATCAAATGTCTTAGACTGATCCAAATTGATAAGCTTGGTTTGCTTGTCATCTTCTGCTCCCTCTAGGATCAGAAGCATAAAATGTTCAGCCATTCACAGCACAAATCTGCTTGCATTTCAACAGAATCTTGACAACTAGCAGCAAATGCTCTATCAGGATCTTGGCCAAAATCTTTAACTCTTTGTTTAGCACCCTTGTTCTTTTCAACAGCATGAACACACCCCTAGAAATCCGGTCAGGGATGGACCCCTGGTGGAACCAGTTGTTGAACAGTCAAAATCAGAACAAAGATGTGTGACAGCCTCAAGTACAATTCATAGGGCAAACCATCCAGACCCAGCGACTTGCCTCTGCCGACCTTCAATGTCACATAGACCTTGCCCTCCATGATCTTCCCTCACAGCTAGCCACTTCAGCTGACAAAAGCCAAGGAAAGTCAGCCAAATAGCTGTAAAACTCTTCACCACAGAGACCAGGCTCCTTGGTAAACTGGCTCTCAAAAAGCTGCAGAAATACCTCACACACATTGTCAGTCAACTGCTGAGTACACCCAATCAAGGTTGTGACCTCTCAAATGTAATGACCGGAACCTCGATGGATCTCTTCCTTGTGCAATTCTGCACCCATGTTCACTGCTTTGGATGACATCTTTAATAAACTTTGCATATCAGCAGAGTTCTCCTGAATATGTGTGTTCAGGACAGATCCATTAATGGGGTAAATGGATCATACCACACTGACCTTTAGTTTAAGTATTTTATTTATTTATTTTTTGTGTAATTTCTTAAGTTCTAAAGTTTATTATTTGAAAAAAAGTTTATCCGTTTTAGGTCATGGATTATGAGTTGTTTAGTCTTTACAAACATGATGTGGTTGTAGGTAACATAGAAATTTGTTTTTGTATCTGCATTTGGAAATGAGTCCTGATATTTTTTTATTTTTTTTAAGGAATTTATACTGTTCTAGAATGTTGATTATTGTTATTTTCTCCTCTAGGCAAGTTTACCTTGTTTTGTGTTGTTGAAAGCTGGTGCTGTTTTCCCTACTTTCTGTTATTTTTGGTGTGTTTGAGGTTACATACTTTTTAATTATTGTATTTGAACTAGTGCCTTCACCTTGGTTATTCACATTTCAGTCATTGTATCTTCTGAACTTCTTCAAGTGTTTGTCATATTCTGTAACCTTTTAGAATTTTCAAAACTAACCTTTCATTCATTCCATGGATAAAATGTTCCAATTCTAATATCTCTGCCCAGGGATATCTTATTCTTGTTAGTTAATTCATTCTTGTAATGTTAATTTTGTCTTTTTCACTGATACAAAGTATATGACATTCACTGCCTGTTTCAAGGATTGAACTCATAATCACCATGTAATTAAATGAACTCAACTAATGTTTTGATCAAAAAGCCATGAAACAATATTTCAGCAGGCGAAAAAAGCACAAGTAGCTTCATAAGGATGAATTATCTTTTTTTTTCTTGATCAGGATCACTCCAAGCAAGGCAGTAATGCCACTAAAACACAGGGGGGGGTTAAAGGGTGTGGAAGAATTAGTAGCAGAGACATTAATGATAAGCAGAAAGAGAACACAGTAGATAGCGATTGACATTGCATTTAAATTTTTGCAGATTAAAGTTGCCTGGAAGGCATAGATCTAGAAGGAAGTTCCACACAAATGAGAATTGTGAAAAAAGAAACTGTTAACATAGAATTTAAAGCTACATCTAGCCAGCTCAACTGTAAATTGATAAGATCTCAATGCCAGTGCTGTGCTTAAATTCAAAAACTCTAGGTACCATAGCAAAGAGCTCATTTGAACAATTACCATGAAAGTATTTATAGAAACAACATAGAGAGTCAACCTTACAGTGATAGGAATGTGACTAGAGCCAAGCTGCCATATTAGGACCAATAATATTGCTGATTCTTCTTTGAATCTTATCAAGGAGCTCAAGGTAAATAGCAGGAACACTGGGCCATATATGGCAGCAATATTCTAAGCATGGTCAATTGGTAGACTTATAGATATGTAAGAAAGATTCTGGAGAAAAAATTGTCTCACCCTACATATTGAACTGACTTTCTTAGCAGCTGAGCTAACAATGGATTCAATATAGTCTTTCCACTTCATATCAGTGGAGAATGTAAACCCAAGAAGGCACAATGAGTCACTTTCAGTGAGGATAGCATTCAATAAATTCCCTGATTTCCACTGAAATACCCTGATTTTGGGACATAACAAATAGTAATGTATATAGTTATGACAGGGCAAAGTTAAAAAGATGAAAAAACAAAGAAGCACAAATTGTAGAATCTAAACTTATATACAAAATAAAATCTTCAGATATAAGATGTGGTCAAATTTATTGCTATCTTGATTTTGTAAGTTCTGCAATGTCACTTAGTTCTTTTCCGAGGTTCTCTTTCAATTTTAAACACTTCTCTCTAAAGGTTTTAATTTTTTCAGCTACTGCCTTTCTTTTGTTTTCTGTTATTCAGCTAATACTTTCATGTCAAGTTGCATTAGATCATTACCTGATTTCCCTGACATAAAAGCAAATTTCCCTGATTTTTCTTTAAAAATGATTATTTTTTCATTTTCCTGATTTTCTGTTGACTGTGAATGCTGAACAACAATAATTATCTCAAAAATTCAAACAGAATTTTTTTTTAATATTTTATCATATTTTGCTCTTTCCAAATCATATATTAATGATTCATATAATGAAATATCTATTTAAGAGTAAGCTGAATAAATAAAAGATGTTAATAATAATTATTTCAACCCTAATAATGAGAATTTCTTTTGTATTCTCCAGGGTATTTTTGCAAGTTTCATCCCAGAGATCGCTGAGATTATTGGCAGGAGGCAGAAGTATGGAGGAACTTATAAAAAAGAAAGAGGCAAAAAGTAAGCTGGATTTTTTTTTTTTTTTTAAAGATTTTACAAGATGACAACTTTACATACAAGACTATAACTGACCTCTTTCTAACTGTTGTCAGCCATTTTACTTAAATGCCTAATTAAATGTTTATTTTTGAAGAAAATTTTGCACATAAAATATTTTTCCAATATTTGTTCAAGCTTAAAATTTACTGTTATACATTTATAATTTTCTATCAAGAATTTGTATTAATTCCTCATCACTGACTTATTTTTTTATTTATAAAATTATATAAATAATAAAAAAATTCAACAGCAATAACATTTACTCACTTTCCTTTATCAGGCATTAAATTGCATCACTTAGCATCCTCCATAGTTTACTGTGATTTTCATTCTTAGCCTTAAGAATATTTTTGAGTGTTCTTAAATTTAAAACAGTTGAAAACCTAACAATGTGCATATTGTTAGTAAAAGTTTATCGCTTTGCAATAAAGTGCTTCATATCAAAGACAGCTTGCCTTAAATTGTCTTTTCTCTCAATATTCCATTGACTGCCAGCATTTTTGGCTTCACACTGTCTTTGATATCACTATATATATATATATATATAGTTTTTTCACTACACAGTAATAACCATGTTTAAAAAATGGAAGCTAAAAGCTTCAAATTTAATTTTGTAATTAAAAACATTAGTTCCATTTCATCCTCAAGCAAATTTTGACTCCAAAATTCATTTGAGTATGAAATGGAACTAATGTTTTAATTTAATTACAAAATTAAATTTGAAGCTTTTAGCTTCTATTTTGAAACATGGTTATTACTATATATATATATATATATATATATATATATATAATATAATATGTGTGTGGTGTAATGTTTTTCATAGAATGCATAGCTCAAGGTACTATACTGATTCTAGGCAAAATACACACATACTGCAGTGGTTCTAGCAGAGAACCAGGGCATAATACTTTCATTTTAAGCCGGGCACATATATAATCTGATCCAAGCCATACATAAATAATCCCATCATTTTTCATGGATACGATGCTAGTTAAGTATACAAAAACAAAATCTTTACAGTATATATGCATTACTACATATTCATGTATTCATTTCTTAAAATGTGAAGTAATATTTCTGCATCTTGTCTGTATCCATCTATGTTAATGGCATTGAGAATTGTCGGCAGCAAAACTCGGGGTAATCAAATTATAAGCTTTTAAGTATATCTTTTTTGCTAAATCTATTCCATAAATACATTGTTGTAATGAGAAAATGTAATTTGTTAAAGAAATCAATCTTATTCCGGCAGTTAATATAATAAATACAATTACTGAAATTGCCTTATTGTATACGCATTGAAAAACATTGGTTATAAAGGGAAAAAGATAGGTTTGTCTGATATTCTTCTGTGTCATGACCCTGAAAATGGTGATTTAAATACATTAAGCATTTCTTTTAAATAGATGTCAGTACTGTTGACAAACTATTACTGATTCCTAGCAAGACTTTTGGTAATGCTTAAATAAAATATGATTAGTATTTAGTTTAATTGTTCATTTTCATTTGCCTTGCCTCTATTATTGTCATATTTTAATATAATTTTCTGATAATCACATATTTTTCTAGTAAATTTTAATTGCAATTCATTAATATTTGAAAAACAGTCACAAAAGAATTGAAATTACCGTCTAATAAAGAATAAGTGTTAGAAAATTAATAATAATTGCTGCCTACTTGTTTTTCTTAATCCTTTGTATTTAAGAACCACTTGAAATCATTCTTTTGGATGTTCTTCAGCACACTTCATTAGCAGTTGCGGTCATGTGAAAAAGTTAATTTTTTTCCATCTTTGACCTTCTATATCTTTCATTCTTTAGCATTGTTTCCAGCTTTCATCTTGGAATTAGACTACCAATCAATGATTAATTCTGTAATTGTACATTTCTTTAAAAAATAGTATCATATTTTTTAAAAATTGTAATTGTTAAAGCAATGAATTGAATATTTCTTTTGTGAATATTATGAGTAAATTTGATATTTCTCACCTTTCAAAAATGTTACAGAAAAAATTTTGAGAATAAAAACTAAAAAAAATAGAAACTAAAAAAAAGATATATTTTAAGTTAATAAAACCAAAAAAAGGAATAATAAAAAAGTCAGTTAAAATAATAATTTAAGAAAACAAACAGATGCAGGTCAGGGTTGAGCAAGTATCAAATTGCACTTTATTTGAAAGCCCAGCACTACTAAATTTTAAATTGTTATTCTTCCTGTCAATAGACTTAGTTCAGCTTATTTTAAAAGTTACTGAAAAAGTTGCAAATAGTGAAATTCATTATTTAGCAGCTCTAGCCTTTCAAAACTAACCCAGTCTAGCAACCCTGGTGCACATCTTAAATAAAGAATAAGCCTATAATGAGAATTGAACCTGCCGAAAACAGTTATTTTTACTTATTACTGGCTACAGAATCTTAAATCTTATATATCTTTCATTGTCTATTTTCTTCAAACACCCAATTTGCTTTAATGTTTGTTTACATACACTTCTTTATGCGCCATGTACCCTCAGGATGTAGGCAATTATAGCTCTCCACAAACTCCTGTCCTTTGTAGCACTTAATAAATGTTGTCTTTCTGTTATTTCTCCTAAATCCTATTCCAGCATCTATGTACTCAAACTCACTAAGTATGTTTTACATTGTTTTCCACTGTCCTTCTTGCCTTCAATCTGTCCTGTGAGTATCAGATTTTCCAAGCTCTTATTATGTGCCCTAGAAATTTCAACAGTCTCTTCCTAATGTTACATATAAGTTTAGCTTCCATTTCCTCTGAAACTTTGTCGTTGCTCACATGTTTTGTCCATGTTATCCTCAGCATCCTTCTGCAGAACCACGTTTCTGTTGCTTTCAATCTCTCCTACCTCTTTGTTGTATTAATAGTATTATTATTTCTTATTAATTGTAACTTGTATTATTATTCTGTTAATTTTTGACTTGCTTATTTTCACCTTAATTTCAGTTACTTTTTATTGCAAATTCTCAGACCACCCTATACAGTTTACTAATGACAATAGAACAGCAATCTGATAAGTAGACATAAAAGAAACTGAAATCAATATGAAAGTTTTAAAATTTCTTACTTGATTGCTACTTTTACTGTATTCTGCTTGTATTACTCCAATTTGTTATTAGATGTGTGCAAAAGTTTCTAGCAAAAATCAGTTTTCAACTGTATTCAATTTTTAGTTTTGAAAACACAGGGTCTGGAAACTTTTACATGCATCTATATTTCATAAAGAATTTTTCATTTTTTTATTTCTTATAACTTTCCAACATGTATTGAGTAGTTATATTAAAAATATTTTTATATATTTTAAATGTGGACATCTGTATGCACTTTGGTTATATTCATAATAGGAATTGTGGTATGGTCCATCTCTCCCATTAATGGATCTGTTCTGAATACATATGCAGAGTATATATTAAAATCTTGCTGATAAGCGATAGCATTGTCTAGAACAATTATAATACAGTTTAATATACGCTCATTGTTAACCATTTTTGGAAATGGATAATTTACTTTGTCCAAAGAAATTTATTACTGGCCCCAACATATCTAATGCCAAACTGGAATATTGTCACTGGAGAGTAACTTTTATGAACTTCTTGAGCTCATACTGTGACCAAAGTTCTAATAAGCTACACTATCTCACCAGATATGTCTCAGCACAAGTTTACAAGTATTTTGTGTACACATCTTCCTATGAAGAGTCTTTAACAATACTGGACAGGATCTATATTGAAAAGAAAAATGAAATAGTCTCTAGACACTTGCTGGCTGCAAGGCGACAACTGCTCTCAGACTCCATTGACAGATTTTATTAAGCCTTGATAAAAGACTGTTCTTCGGTATCAATGGAATGATACGGGCCAAACTGATCCAAGATGCCTTCATAAATGGGCTACAGTCCATGGATATCCAACAAAGAATACCCAAAAACAGCACCTTAACATTACAGCAGGCCTATGACTAGGCAAAAGTACTAGATTTAGCAGAACAAAATGCTAAAAATTATAATGCAGTTGCAGTGACATCAGAGGCCTCTCCACCTATTTTGGTCTCCCAATCATATGAAACACTAGGCTCTCAGAAAATAATCAGCCTTAACTAAATGTACATATTTTTTCTGCAGGGACAAGAGACATGCAAGGTCATTATGCCCCACTAGAGGGTACAAATCCTATATATGTGGAAAACAGGGACATTGGACTAAAGTTTGTAAAAGTAAGAAAAATGGGACCAAAAAGGTAACTTGTTCAGTATCATTGAAAATACTAGGCTTCTTATCAATTACAATGATAGAAATCACTGCTAACAAACAGCCACTAAAAGCCCTGATTGAAACAGGGAGCCCAGAAAACTTTCTTAATGCAAGAATTGCAAAACTAAATTCATGGAAAATTTACCTGTGCCTAAACAAAGTGGCAATGTCTAGCTCATCTCTTTCCATACAAATACTTGGATATTGTTTAGTTGATTTAAAAGTAAAGGGTACTCTATACCAAGGAGTAAGATACCTACTAATGAAAGATCTATGCTGTGACCTGTTATTAGGGCACAACTTCTTACACCAACATTCATTAGTAGAAATACTCTTTGGAGGTTCTAAGCCACTCTTTAAAGTCTGCGGCCTAGCAGCATTACAATGCTGTACCCAGCTCTCTTCAAAAATACTGGATTGTAAACTGGCAACTACTAAATTTAGGTGACGCACTGAGAGGAATAAATTATTTATCCAAACCAAAGTTACTCATATGTTGAAGGAAGGAATAATCAAATCCAGCCATTCATTGTGGAGAGTCCAAGTATTTGTAGTCTCCGCTGAGAACCAAAAAATGAGCAAATGGTAAACAACTTTTCCCAAACAATAAACTGATTTGCTTTGCTGGATGCCCACCCTCTGCCAAGAATAGACAATAAGATAGAGAAAATAGCCAAAAACAGTCTATTTAGTACTCTGGACCTTAAAACTGCCTACCATCAGGTAGCTCATGGCCCAGTGATAAACCCTATATGGCCTTTCAAGGCCAGCAGCAAACTATCAGTTTCACAGAATACTGTTTGACATGACTAATGGGATAGCTAGTTTTCAAAGAGTGATAGATTAGATAATATCTAAAGAGAACTAGCAAAGCACCTACGCTTACATCAATAATGTAACTGTTTGCAGGAAAAATCTTAAATTATTCATTGTGGCTGTTAAAAAGTACAGACTTACACTTAACCAAGGCAAAAATGTTATTTTAGATGTAAAAATATAAAATTACTTGGGTACATTATACATAAAAACAACATAAAAACCCAATCCAGAACATCTGAATCCATTACTCAGCCTACCAGTTACAAAAAGATTAACCTGCTCTGTGCTGTGCATTAAAAATGTTCACACACACTATGCACATTGGATTTCATCTTTTCAGAAAAAAATCCACCCTCAAACTTTTTGCTATCTCCTATAGCAGAGAAAGCATTTAATGAGTTAAAAAGGGGTATAGCGAAAGCAGCCATTACTACGCCTGATTATACACTGCCTCTAGTAGTAGAGACAGATGCCTCAGAATGCACTATAGCTACCTCTTTAAGATAGTCGGGGTGGCCCATAGCCTTTTTCTCCTGAACCCTGTATAAATTGGAATGTAGGCATTCAGCAATAGAAAAAGAAGTCTGTGCTATTGTTGAATCACTGAGAAAATAGAGGTATTATTTGATCAGGCAACATTTTAAACTAATTACAGACCAGAAATCAGTTGCATTCATGTTCAATCCAAAAACAGCAAGCAAAATTAAAAATGACAAGATAGCCAGGTGGAGAATGGAACTCTTGTGTTACTTGTTCAAGAAAATGCAGCTGTGGATGCCCTCTCTCATGTATGTAGTTCAGCTGCTTGCAAAAAAGAGTTAAAGAAACTACATAGAGAGTAGTGCCACCCAGGTGTTACATGCATGGTCCACATCATGAAAATCAAAAACCTTCTCTATTCAGTAGAGGATGTGAAACAAATCACCAAATCATGTAAGACTTGCTTTGAAAATAAACCTAAGTTTTACCATCCTAACACCAGTAAGGTCATAAAAGCCATGCGACCCTATGAAAGAATTGCATTGGATTTTAAAGGACCACTTCTGTCAAAAACTCCTAACACTTATATGCTGACAATAATTGATGAATATTTGCAGTTTCCTTTTGCAATACCCTGTCCTGATGTATATTCTACAACAGTCGTACAAACATTTTTCTCAGTTCTTACCATCTTTGGGCTAACTGTGATTATTCATTCTGACAAAGGGGCTTCATTTATGTCTGAACTTGTATGGTGGTTCCTACAAGAGCAAAGAGAAGCCATAAGTAGAACAACCCCATATAACACTCAAGTTAATGGCCAGTATGAGAGGTATCATGGAATAATTTGGAAGACTATTCAGCTAGTAGCTGCTGATAGAGGAGTAGCTTTAGAGAATTGGGAATAACTAATCCCAGAGGCTCTGCATGCAATTAGAAAACTTCCATGTACTCTCACTAATGCATCACCCCATGAATGATTTCTCCCGTTTCCTAGAAGAAGTTTAACTGGAATGTCCCTACCATCTTGGCTTTTGACACTGGGAGTAATATTACTAAAAAGACACATATGACTGAAGAAGAATGAACCACTGCTGGATCAAGTGGAGCTCCTTGATGCCAACCCCCAGCATGTGTGTGCCCATTACCCTGAAGGACGGGAAGTCACAGTCTCACTAAGGGACTTGGCTCCATTAGGGGAAGAATTGGAACCCACAAGCCTAATCGAGGGCTATCCTCAGGATGCTTTGACTGACTATGAAGAAACAGATACATGGTTTTCTTAAGAAGATTATGAGGAACCCTTGAGTCCTGGTCTCTCAAGTGGTGACGAATAGGTTTCACAGAAGAGAGCCCACTCCCCTACCGAGGCTTCAAAGGACATGCAAGCCACTTGTAGAAGTTTATGAAAACACAGCAGGATTAAATCCAACATGAGGAAGAATCTCATCATGCTCCAGGCAATCTGCCATGGACTCGCAGACAGCAAAGGATGTCTGCTTGATTCAGGGACTTCTTACCTCTGTAAGAATTTAAAAAATCATTGCATTATTGGAAAATTTAATAATTATTAAATTAAGCATAGCAGTTATTTTTTTAATGTACAATGAGTCTGGACTATTTTTGAAATTGGAGTTATATTAGATCTTGAATTTTGCAGGCTACAAGCTGAAATAACTTGGGTAACTAATGAAAAGAAATTAAAAAATTACTAGCACTGAGCTTTCAATTGCAACCTATTTGCTGCTTGCAGCCAGAACAAAATATGTATGGAAAGTCAGAAGTGATAAAATAGTTTCTTATATATTATTACACAACTATCTGAAAAAAAGTGTCATAAGTGAACACCTGTTACTTTTGACAGATTTGATACTAAAAACACTGACAATTTATTATAAAAATACAAAAAATAACTCTGCTATAACTTCATACTGCCTTCAACTCCAAGTTTGCTGTAAATATTAGGTTTTAAAAGAGGGTGTATTTTAGATCAGTCTAAAGGTGAAATAAGTTAACATTAAATAGCAACAAAATCAAGAAGTTCAGTTTAATCGGTAAACATTGTGATTGTACAGGTGACTAATGAATGAAAAATAATGTACTAAATGTCAATTGGGGCAATTTTAGCCATCAGAAATGTCATGTCTTTTTATTCAATAAAAAAAAAATCTTTTTTTTAAAATCCTTATTAAAGGGTTATTAGAGTAGAGCAACCAGAAGAAAGTTACTTTTTAAACCAGTCAACATTCAACAGTGAAAGCAATTAAATGGTTGATAAACACTTGGAAGTTTAACATACTGTCATTTTGTTCATATAATTTATTTGCTTAATTTTCAAATACAAGATGGCTATGTATTTGGGGATTGTCTAGTTAAGTATTTCATTTGAAATACTTGCGTCTCACTCTCAGACATAGTAGATTTTCAGTTATTTCGGTATTGGGCATACAAGTCTTTTTTTTTATAAATAAATGACTAGAAACAGTAAGTGCAAGTGGGAAATATATATTCTGAAAAACATCCATTTTATAAGAGAGACTTCTTGCAATATTCACTAATACTTATTTGAGAAAAATCTATATGATTTTTAAGGATGACATCCATGACATATAACCAAACAATTAAGAATAGCAGGTTCAAAAGTATAAAGCAACTCTAATGTTTGTGTCAGTCTTCTAATTTGAATAATGTTGAATATGTCTGGACCATTTTGGATCATGAAAGAAAGAAAATGTTCAGTAAGCTCTAAAAAGATTTTTTGTGTTTAAATGTAGCCTGGTTATATATCCTGCAACATAAAATAGTAATTTTGCTAAATTCAAAGTATAAAAAAAAAAAAAAAACATTTGAAGCCAAGCAAAACTACTAAATTTTAATTTGAATATTAAAATATTCTTTAATTATTTGGATTGTTAAACAAAGGCTTTTTTTTAAAAAATAGAAGTGTCTATTTACTTTTATCATATTGTTATAAATACTTGACCTTACTTATTGAATTTTGTGTTTTAATTATTTAAGTATAATGGAGACGTATTATTCTAGTTATTTCAAAATGCTGAAAAGTTGCTATATCCCATCCCTTAGTTGAAGATGGATTTTGCAGTTTTATCTAAAATTAAAAAAGAAAAACAGCAAGTCAAATAAAAGATAATCAAATTTCATTTTTTTAATAATATTAATTTTATAAATAAGTGACTAGAAAGCATTACACTATATAAAATACTTTTCTCAATCAAAACCTTCAGTTAAAAAAATGAATTTTTTTTATTTGATAAGCCATAAGGGCTACTCTAAAGATGCATTGATATAAGTAAAAATGAAAACAAATTCTATCATTGGTTATTCATTAATAATTTTTCTTTTCAGACATATTGTGGTGTGTGGGCATATTACATATGATTCAGTCTCAAACTTTCTGAAAGATTTTTACACAAAGATCGAGAAGATGTGGATGTGGAAATAGTTTTTATTGATATAAAAGTATTTATATGCATACACCTTGGCTAGTAGCCATTATTAATTTGAAAATATTTAAACTGTTTTTTTTTTGTTTTTTTTAAACCTGTTCTGTATGAATTATGTACAAAGTTCGATTTTTTTTAAAGAAATCTATTTTATGGAGAACAATAGAGAAAGAAGAGATAACTGACTGAGTTTAGTAGAGAAAGACAGAGACATATGTTGGTTCACTGTGTCAAGCCAGAAGATTTTTCTCGTCTGAGTCCATCCTTCAAATCTACAAATCTACCATTTGTCCTTGAATACTGTTGCCATATATGGTCTGGTGTCTCCGCTGTTCATCTTGAGGTTCTCAACAAAATCCAAAGACATAGGTCCTGATTCAGCATCTCGACTCCAGTCACTTTCTCACAGACGTGATGTGGCTTCCCTCTGTCTTTTCTACAAATATTTTCATGGTAACTGCTCTGACAAGCTATTTTCACTGGTGCTCCAACTGCATGAATTTAAGCATGCTACTAGGTTGGCATTTCTATCCCACCCTTTCACTGTTGAAACAGTTAAATGTAACCACCTCTTCTACTCCAAGAGCTTCTTCTCTCACACTCCTCGACAGTGGAACTCCCTTCCTCTTACTTGTTTCCCTGATAACTATAATATTCAAATGTAATGTCAATTGACATCTTCTGTTGCCTTGATCTTGATCTCCATCCTTTCCTCAAACACCCCACTTTACTCTTACTTTCACTCTCTGTAACCCCTTGTATGCTAGTGGCACCTCTGCCTTGCTTTGGGTGAAATGCTTTAAAAAAAATGTAAGCATGGTCTGGAGACTCAAGAGAAAGTCCCCTAGCCAGTGGGAGATGTTCCTGAACATAAACTCCCCGGTCAGAGAAAGAAAGGTTGAGGGAATTAGGTGTTTTTATCAAGCTAAGCTGGTTTGGTTTTATTTTGTTGGTTGCTAATTGTCATGGTGTATTATCTAGGTTAGGAAAAGACCAAGAATAGTAGTAGCTGTCGGTCATATAAGGCAACGTGTGTGAACTGGGAATTGGTGCAGACTGCAGCATAGTGTGGCCTTGGGGTTGCCCACCAAAGGTGCTTGCAGGGACATCCTTCCATGTGGAACATGGCACTGCAAGAACCCTGACATTATGCAACTGTTGATCAAAGCAGCCTCTCCAGATGTTACACAAGAGTTTGGGCTTCTAATTACCAGTTGGGAAGTAGCAACCAGAAAATTGTCAACCTGGTACCCTCAGTATGGAGAGATGTAGACACCATCCACACATATCACCAAACATTCATGATAGTACCTCTATTAAGAAGAAAGGAACCAGGAACTCCTTCCTAAACAGGAAAAAATGGATGAGCTTCTACTCCTGTTCAAGAGAATGGACTGGGCAATAGGAAGGCCTGTCTACTCCTATTAAAAAGAAAAAAGTTACTAAGTTCTAACTTATAAGTTGAGATATCCATTAAAAATTCAAACAAGAATTGAAAATGTCATATACCTCTAAAAAAAATCAAGCATGCACATCCTGGCTTTGGCTTCCCAGTTAAGTTACATCCTTGAATATTAATTCAATTAACTTATTTGCATAGTCAATCATCAGCCCACAGAACATTTTTAACCATGCTATGTTCAATCTATTTATTTATTTCTGGCAGTCTAGTCTATTTTGGGACTTTTTGGGATAGTGTGGAAATAGTAATAAACTATCCCCGAGTCATAGAATAGGACAACCAAACATATTATACACAGGTAATTTTTTTGAAGAGGTTAAAAATTCATATAAAAAATTCAGTGGTTGTACTATACATGACGTTGGCTTACACACAAGTATAATTTGCTGGAGTTGTTTGATGACATAGTGAGAGTCATATTAGTCAGTATTGGAGTTGGTGAGTCTTTTGAAATTTGTTTACCATGAAATATTTATGAACAGATGAATATAAATCTTGAATAGAAATAAATGAAATATAAGCTAAAAATCATTGTTTTTCAACCTGTGCTTTAAATTAAAGAATGAGTATTTTTAAAATTTAAATTTTTTGTGATTATTTTTAGATTTTGTCATATTCTCTTTTCTTCTTCATCACTTTTAGCATAAAAATTAACTTGTATCCTATGAATTCACATAGTATTCCACATATATAATTTGTTTTCATTATTTTTCCCTCAATTCCTCTTTCAGGCAGCTTCCTGATTTGGAGCTTGAAGGTTTGCTAAAGAGGCACTTTACACAAGTGGAGTTTTTTCAAGGAACTGTCATGGATGCTAATGACCTTGAAAGAGTTAAGGTAAAATATTCAGGTTTTTCAATTAAATAGTTATTTTTATAAATGTTAACTAGTAAGAGTTTAAGAATGATGTTAAATTTCTTTACTAAGTTTAAAATGGGGAATACAGTTTTTTCCCTTTAAGATTACAAAGTACATTTGATATAACTTAAATTTGATATGTCCTAAAAAGTGATCATTTGTAGCAAATGTATTATAAACATTCTTCAATTTTCTTTTAAATACACTTAACCATTTTCAAGTTTATTTTATCATGCATACTTTATATTATGCATTTGTGTATTTCCTTTAAATATTTATATTGATAGCTGTACTTATTGAAGTCTTTCCCTTTTTGATCTTTGGTTTCCTCAATTCACACCCTATTTTGAATTGTCATCTAATAAGTTTTTAACCATTATACTTATGACATATATAAATGAAATTTCTCCCCTAGCTAAAATTCTCCCCTTTATATTTGCAATTATTCCCTTCTCATCTGAGAATCACTCATCTATAGTTTCAGGAGCCAAAACTCTAAGAAAATCAGGTTGATTTGCATTTATTGTGGAGCCACATTCTTAAATCTGCTTCCCCCATTAATTATGTGCCATGTGTGATACATGCTTAGGCAATCATGTATCTTTTGATACATGACTTACGAGGCAGATTTTTTCCTGCAGTAGGTTGCCATTTCTTTCTGTGGTAGACCAGTTGCCATCCAAGGCTATAGAACATAGTCTGCCCTGCTATTTACCCATAGCTGGAGGTAGAAGAAGGGGATTCATATCTTTCCCAAGGTTATTAGCATGTAAGTGAATGTAATGGATTTGACTGGAATTTGAACTTGGCTCTCCGATTCCTCAGTCCAAACCGCTGTCCATTACTCCACGATATTATAATCAAGAATTACTTTTTACATTTATCAGTTTATTCTGATATTTTTTTTAAAGCGTTAAAGCTTTATCCAATCTTCCAATCATATATAGTAATGAACGGTCTAATGTTTTATGTATGTTTCTTCATTTCTCTATTCAAAACTTGAGCTAAAACATATATATATATATATATATATATATATATATATATATATATATATATATATATATTTTTGAGATAAATGTAGCTATAAGTTGAAAAACAGTAATAAGATCTCTGATCTAATATTATGACACGAGAGGAGCTGACTATACAATTTTTACTTTTATGCATTATAAATAAAATAGTATATACATTTATGGCATAATTTCTGATTAGCTGTGTTAGCTTTGCATTCATCAAATCTTTATTAATCTTAATATCCTCTTAATGTTTTTCTTCAAGTAATGAACACTTTAGGTACAGAATTTCTTTAAAAATTTGTTTATTTACTAATAATTTATTTACATTAGGACTATTGTCCTTATCTTTGTTGTTATCACAATGCTTCAGCTGTTGTGCCCTTTAGTCTTCTTTGGGTGCTTGTTGATCTGAGTAATCTTCAGAGAATTTCAAACTGAACCCTTTATTAAATCTGTGAAGATAGATTGTTCAGTTAATGATTTAACAACTTTCTCTAAATCTGTTCTGAAACACTTCTAAATTGGCTTTGTATAATAACTGTCCTCCTAAAAGCTAAATCAAATAAACACAATTAAAAAAATAGATGAAAATCTTCACTCATTTTAGGAATGAGTATTAATTTGAAAAGTTCAATGCTTATATCTTCCAATAATCTAATTTCTTATTAGGTGGCAATATTTCTATCACTAGGCACCAGCATTTATTTTCAAACTGTTTTTATATTGGATTTTTTTAAGTTTTAAAAATATTCAAAATCATGTCAAATCTGCTGATATTCTTCACAAAATGTTTATGGCTCATTTGTTTAGTTTGAACAGGTGGTTGATATATACAAGTTGCAATCAAATGGTTTGTGAACTAATTGAATTGAACACAAAAATATGTCTGTTTTCAACCATGTTTTGTTTTCCAAAGTCCATGTTATTTCTTTCTCAGAAATGTTTTAAAAAGAATTAAATTGGCATTCACGACCATGTTTGTTAAAACAAATTTTCTTAATTGGGCTCTGACTGCAACTTTCTTGCTTTTATTATACAATTCAGACATTAAATTGAACCAAAATTGTTATAGCACAATAAAATTTAAGAATATTTATTTTTTTGGTATTTAAGAAAAAATTAACGACATCGACTTTGATTTTTTTTAATTTTTTTTTTAGACAGAGAATTCTCGATAATTTTTTGCTTATTTATCTTTCAACTTATTTTTAATGCTTTTTTTGTTATTATTACAATGCTTGGGTCATTTTACATCCCACAATCATTAAGTAAGTAGCATGGATCTGAAGATCATGGAACATACGAGACTTGTACTTGAATCCCATATCCTCAAGATTCTGTCTTATAAGGAATAACAATTTGGCCAGGGAGACACATCAGATTAGATAGAGCTATATGATTAAATTTAAATTTTCTTTCTGTTAGATTTTTATGGCTAAAAGAGTATGACATTTTCAATGTCAGATGCACTTTTGAAGATATGAGATGTGAGTTCAAAATTAATAATGATCTTGACCTATTTATACTTCCATCAGCTTTATATACTTGTAATTTTTATATAATAATATAGGTTGTATACAAAAAGTCATGTTTCATCACCAGCAATAATGATTTGAAAAATGATTTTGTTATTAGCCTCTATAATCAGATTCTTTTAAATGGCTAGTTAAGTTTCCAATTAAAGTGGGGTCAGGATATATAGGGAAAGAATTGGCTGCTATATGATACATTCCTAAATTTTCAGGAAGAATCATCTAGTAAAAACTATCTGAAATCTTGACATCTTGAGACAATTTTCAGGAAGCTTATTTTCTATGTAGCACAATATTTTCAAGTCTAGTCAAATTTGACAGCTTATTTCAGTGAACATGTTATTTATTGGTGTTGTATACTTAAATGAAGACACTTTCTGACATTTCTGTTTGGCTGCAGGTAAAGTTATATTAATACTCACAGTACAGTGATCGCTCACCTTCTAAAGAGACACAGCACATAGAAGAAGAAAGGACTAAGCATCAATTATAATATGAAATGTATAGTTGTGAGCAAAAGAGAGAGCACAAAGTGTAAGTTAGAAAAGACTTAAAGCAACCATGATGTTGTTTTTTAATGGACACAACATGTAACAAATTAAGTTTTAAGGAGTACAAACTAAAATGAAACTGTTGTTAACAATTTTAAAAGGACAGTTGGAAATTTGGGGGACATAGAATGAGAAAGGAAGGCTTTGAGAATTTAACACTGACAGGACATGTCAAAGGCATGCAAAACAGAAGAAATTGGTCACCTGTTGGACAAATATAGACAATGAGTTTCACAAAGGCAAAGGGGTCATAAAAGCATAAACATTACTTAAAATAACAAAAAACTGAAGTATTAGAGAGTCATGTTCAACAACATCCTGAAAAGAGGTTGCACATATATTGAATGAATTATTTGAATCAAATATTTGTTTTTCTGGAATGAGTTCATATTAGAGAAATACCTACCAATCCTAATATATACACAGAATCACCTGCTTTGGATGAAAATCAGAGATTGAGACAATTTGCATTATTTTTTTTTATTTTTTTAAATTTTTTTTTTTACTTGCCTCTGATGACATTTTGAGAGGGATATAGTACCCAATTTTCATAATTTGTTTTAAAAATAGGATGTTTTGTTATGGGGAAACAACATATCAAAACAAAACTATTAAGTCATAATCAGGTTGTTTGAGTCTGTTGGTTATCCTACTTATCATTGTTTATTCTCAAGTAATCTCTTGATTTTATTACTATTAACCTCAGTTGACCTGCCCGACCATGAAGCATTGTTCAACAAGAAATCTCCATCACAAAACTTTGCAAACCACTTTTGACATGTTCAGTCCTTTACAATACCTTTTCTATAAATTGCGCAAATCTTTTTGTGCTTAAATCATATCTATGCCTTTCTTGAAAATTAAAAAAAAAAGAAGCATAATAGGCTAAAAATATTGCTTTCTTCAATGTTACAATCAATGAACAAAAATACGCAAATTTTAACAAATTTTCTTTAAATGCATCCTGATTTGACAATTATCAGAGCACAATGAAAAAATAATCTTTTTGAATAAAGTTAGTTAGAACTAAATAACTATCACAATACATACTCAATATTTTGAAATGAGGAATATTCACAGATAAACTTGAATTCTTCTATGTGCCATGACCGTTCAGGATGTTGGCGATCATGGCTCTCCATAATTTTCTGTCTTTTGTAGCTCTTAATAAATTTCGTCTTTTTGTTATCTCTCTTAAACCTTGTTCCACCACCCATTTACTCAATCTTGCTAGGTACATTATGCATTGCTTTCCTCTGTTCCCTCTTGTCTTCAATCAGTCCTGTGAGTATCAAATATTTCAAGCCCACTTTCTTCATTATGTACCCCAGAAATTTCAACTGCTTTTTTCTGATGTTAAGTATAAGTGTCCATTTTATTTCCATTTTCTCTAAAACTTTGTCATTGATCACATGTTCAGACCATGATATTCTCAGCATCCTTCTGTAGAACCACATTTCTGATGCTTCAAGTCACTTTTTCATCTTCAAGGAGATTGTCCAGCATTCACTGCCTTATAGGAGTACTGATATTGCATAACAGTCCAGTATTCTTTTCTTTGTTTCTAATGAGTTTTTCTGTTTCTTAATACTTTGCTTAGTTTTTGGAAGGAATCTTTCACTATCAAAATGTGCTTTTTGATATCAGTATCGCACTTTCCATCCTCTGTTAAAATATTTCCCAGATATTTAAATTGTTGTACATGTTTGATTTTGGTATCTCCAATTCGTAATTACTTGAATTAATGAAGAAAAAGTCCAATGCATAACAGACATATTAGAGAACATACACTTACTGATCCCACATTAAGGTAGCTCAGATTAGTGCCTAATGTTTTGCTTTAGAGATATCTTTGTACTTATTGTTTACATTAATGC